TCATTTGTAAAATGAAGAGACTCATAGGAAACTAAACCTAATCTCATAGGAAACTTGTGAGAATTACATGAAGAGTAAGCCTGTGGCATGGTCTCTGATACATGATTGGGCTAAGGAATCAGAAGACGGGTTCACAGAAGCCCTGTGACCTTGGGACCCTAGGCAGGTACCTCCCTAGGCTTCAGTTTCCAAATCAATAAATGGAAATAATAATAATATTTTAGGGGCATCTGGGTGGCTCAGTCAGTTGAGCATCTGACTCTTGGTTTTGGCTCAGGTCACCATCTCAGGTTCATGAGATCAAGCCCTGTGATGGGCTCCAAGCGCAGTGGGGAGTCTCCTTGAGATTCTCTCTCTTCCTCTCTCCCTCCTTGCACTCACACGTGCTCTCTCTCTCAAATAAATAAATAAATAAATAAATAAATAAATAAATAAATAAATAAATAAATTTTTAAAAATAGTATTTAGAAGCTTGTGAATGAGCTAATGGTGCAAACAGCTCAAGCATGGTATCTAATATACAATATGCAATAAGCACTCAAATTTTTGGTTGTTGTTACGAAAATACCAATCATTATTAGGAGCACGGTGAATGTCACTTCTGTTCCACCTGAGTAGGATGGCCTTCTTAGAATCCTGATTGTCAAAGTGATGGATTGGAACATCCCAGACCAGGAATGTGTGTGTGTTCCCACCTCACTTATTTCTTAGTTTGGTTCATGGCGCCATCATCCTCCCAGGGGCCCAAGTTAGAAGCTTCGGGGGTCACCTTGGACTCCACCCCACATTCAGTGCATCAGCCATTCTACAGGTTTCCTCCTTCAGGGAGCTTCAGGATCCCAAACAGAATGAAAGAACCTGATAGCACCTGGGACGCAGCAGATCCTTATCAACACCAATGGTTGGTTTGGTTTTATCTCCATTGCCCCTGTTCTCGTCCTGACCACTGCCCTCCCCACCGGTGTTGCTCCCAAGCTTCTCACCGTCCACCCTGCAGGTGACAGCCTTTCTGTTTCTCCCTGCCCTTTCTGACCGCAGCACAGCCAGTGTGATTTATGTCCCACTCACCATCCTGCTGTGTAAGGAGCTGCTCTTTTCTTTTGTTCATTTGCTTTTTTTCCTCTCTTCATCCTGATACTTCCATTTCCCTCCTTCCCGCAGGCCTTCACTCTTGTGTTTTTGAGAATATGTTCTTGGATATGTATGTGAACTTATAAAATACACTATGTTAGTTTCGCATGGTTCCTGTTGTTTTGTTTTTTTAAGATTTTATTTATTTATTCATGAAAGACCTAGAGGCAGAAACACAGGCAGAGGGAGAAGCAGGCTCCCTGCGGGGAGCCTGATGTGAGACTCAATCCCAGACCCTGGGATCACACCCTGAGCCGCAGGCAGAGATGCCCAACCACTGAGCCACTCAGGTGCCCCATAGGTCTTGTTTTTTTTTTGTTTTTTTTGTTTTTTTTAGGTCTTGTTTTTAAAAGAATTCCGCCCCCACTTTAAGTCATAAGGATATTCTTCTATATATATTTCTATGTATTTTTTGTATGGTTACCTTTCACGTTCATATCTTTAATGCATCTGAAGTTCACCTTTGTTTATGGCTGTCAAGGATTCAACTGCATTTTTCTCCATGTAGCGGTCAGTTTCCCTGTATTGTCTACTAAGCAACTTATCCTTTCCCCATTGATTTGTAGTGCCTTTCCCCCCACACATCAGGTACACTCATCCCAGGAGCATAAATGCACATATATCCATTTCTGGGCACTTTGTAGCCCTTGGTCTAGTAGCATGTTTCTGCCCCCACAGAGTTTATTACATGGCACTGAAGTGTAGTGGGGAGAGTCCCTTCTCTTTGCTCCTTTCTCAAAATTAACTAATTATGGACTTCAATTTTATTCTTCCATATAAATTTCCGATTAGGCCTTTTCATTCCACCAAAAAAATTGTGGGAATGTATTGAAATTGCCTTAAATTTTTAGACTAACTTTGGGAGAATTGGTATCTTTACGTGTTAGGGAGTCTTGTCCATCACTATGGCATCTCTCTCTGCTTATTCAAGTCTTATACTATGTCCCATAATAGTTTTATGTTTTTTCTCCAAAAATCATTTTGAGCTTTTAAGTTAATTTTTGGGTACTTTATGCTTTTATTGCTCTCACAAAAGGTATCTTATTTTCTATTATGTCTTTTGGCTAGATATTGCTGGTATAGAAGAATGCTACTGATTTTTATAAGATCTTCTTCCTGACATCCTTGCCAGGATTCCATTAGTTCTGTGGGGTTTTCTATGGAGATAATCAGATCACCCGTGAATAATGACAGTTTTGTCACTTCCTTTCTTTTCTTTACTTTTTTAAGTATGCTCTACACCCAACATGGGTCTTGAAACCATGACCCTAAGATCAAGGGTCACATGCTCTACCGACTGAGCCAATCAGACACCCAACACTTCCTTTTAAATCCTTATACCTATTACTTCTTTTTCACATCCTAACATGTCAGCCAAGACCTCCAGTACTCTGTGGAGAAGTAGCAGTTCCTGTTCTTAGAAGGTGGATCTACCTGCACCTGTTATCTCCTTCCTATCCCCAGGAATTAAGCCTACCTTCATGTAGCCACAAGCTCTATTTCCTACTGGTGTAGGACTAGTGATTCTATTTTGTCTTGTAGTGGACTTGGGATAAACCATAATTTGTTCACGGAAATATGAAGGAGAGGAAGGGCCCAAGATAAAAGCTTCCCCACCTGCGGCACCTTTCCCCTTCCCCTGTAGACTATAGTCACCCACACACATCCCCTGGGATCCAATTATTTGCTGTCTTCTAGAAGCTTCTCACAGTTATCAAATTAGAAATGGGCATTAAGGAGGACACGTGATGTGATTAGCACTGGGGGCTATACTATATGTTGGCAAATTGAATTTAAATTAAAAAAGCATTCCATCATGCAAAAAAATTATTTTGTCAATAAATGCCCCCCAAATTAAAAAAAAATAAAAAAAGAAACTCAGATTCACCAACCATCCCATCTCTGAGGCACTTCCAGAGCTGGGTTGAGGAAGATAGCCAGTAGCCTATAATGGATTGCCATTTTGTCAGGATCCAGAAGCCAGAGTGACATTTCTAAAATAATTAGCATTCTTGAGAATGCTTTAATCATAGACCATTGAAGGCCCTCATTATAAACTCTTTAATAAGAGCATTCAAGGGCCTGACAAGTTGGCCTCACTTCCTCTTCCACCTACCACAGCAAACCCCACACTCAGACCATCCTGGGTGATCTGCTCCTGAATGTGTGTCCATTAAACATTATCTTCTAGGATGCCTGGAGGGCTCAGTGGTTGAGCATTTGCCTTTGGCTCATGGTGTGATCCCAGGGTCCTGGGATCCAGTCTGCATTGGGCTGCCCACAGGGAGCCTGCTTCTCCCTCTGCCTGTGTCTCTGCCTCTTTCTGTGTCCCTCATGAATAAATAATAATCTTTAAAAAAATAAACCTTATATTTTTACCATACAGTTCCCTGGACATGGAATTTTCTCTCTTTTTCCATAACGAGAAAGCCTAAACATTCATCAAGGCTCATAACATAAGTCATCAGTCTTATGTCTTCCCAAGTTTATCTCATTGGTATAAATCATTCCTTCCCCCATTCTTCCCAGAGCGTTCATATGTCAGATTTGCCTTACAATTTGTTGTTAGTTATCCCACCGTCCCATTAGATAGAGACCTCCAGGAGGGTAAGGACTGTGTTTTATTCATCTCTATCTCTGCGGCAATTCTTCCCACATAGTAAATGCTCAATAAATGCTTATTCATCGGGGGGAATCCCTGGGTGGCTCAGCGGTTCAGTGCCTGCCTTTGGCACAAGGCGTGATCCTGGAGTCCCGGGATCGAGTCCCATGTCAGGCTCCTGGCATGGAGCCTGCTTCTCCCTCGGCCCCCCGCCCCGTGTCTATCACGAATAAATAAATAACATCTTTAAAAAAATGCTTATTCATCAACTTAAAGGATGGGGATCACAAATTATAGGAAAAAGAAGTCATTAGGAAATATGAAGTAATGCTCTTGCCTCATCTTCATTCCAGCAGGGTCGAGTATGGATTTGCAGAGGTGTTGTTATCTGCAGTAATACTCAGCAATATACAAATAGGAACAAGAACAGACATTGTAAACACCTTGTCATTCTCATTATTATGTGATAAGCCCTTTGGGTAATGTAGTAACAGGTGTTCAATCTATGTGGTGCAGAGCAACTACTTAGAACAAATTTACCTGGGATGCCTGGTAGGCTCAGTCTGACTATTTTGGCTCAGGTTGTGATCTCAGGGTTGAGGGATCAAGCCCTGCATAACCTCAGCATGGAGCCTGCTTGAAGACTGTCTCTCTCCCTCTCCCTCTGCTCCTCCCCTAACTTGTGCGTGCTCTATCTCAAACAAAACAAAACAAAACAAATAACAACAACAAATTGTACCTGTAAAGTCTAATATTTGGGGCAATTGTGGAAGTTAGCATGTGGCCAGGCATTCCTGGGTCTCTGCTCCTGAATGGTACTCCTACTTGTTTCGTACACTACACACAGCTCTTGAGGTGAACCTATTTACATGTAAAGATTGTAAGATAAATGGAAATTTCTTTTGAAATATTACCTTTGCTTTCAATAGAAATTTCCAGTAAATGGGAGAGATTTGTCATGTTGTAGAGGAGATGTGGGAAAGGTAAATGAAGAAACCAAAGTAAAATTAGTAACGTTTATATTGTTGCTTTTCTTTGAGTGATACATAGCAGTTTTGTCTGTGTGTTTATTCTTTTTGCATGTCTGGGCAACAGATAAAGAAGGTATTATTATCTATATCTATATAAAAGCTGAGAGATATGTCATTATTATATATTTTATATATAAAATTATGATACTGGTATTATATTTACATATATTATAAAATATATCATTATCCTATAAAAACTGAGATAAGGAATTAATTAAGTTAATTTTCTTTCATAGATTGTTGCAGCAGTGGCCCTCAATTGGTTCATACCTCCCTGAATCCACACCGTTGGGTGATACCTTTCACATTGACTCCAGGCGTGGCCATGTAACTTGCTTTAACCGGAGACAAGAGCAAATATGACCCAGCAGAAATTTTAAAGTGATTGCATGTTGAAGCTTGCCCTCCCATATGCCCTTTGGTACCCCAAGAACGCCGTGATGAGATCGCCGTGCAAAGCCTGGGCTTGAGGTTGAGACAGCATATGGAGCAGAGACAAGCCATCCCAGCAGAGTCCTCCTCAACAAACAAGCCTATCAATCTCCAGGTAGGTGAGGCCAGCCAACCCCGGAGGAGCCACCTACTGACCTCAGAGATCCATCACATCAGCTAGATCAGAACTGTCCAAATGACTCACAGAATCATGAGAAATAATAAATGTTTGTTGTTTGAAGCCAGTGGCTTGTGACACAGCAAGACCTAACTAATACATTCCCCAAGAAAGCCTATTCAAGTTAGACTCTAGAGGTCTCCGTCCCCAGGCTCATGTTTGATTGCTGTTGCTCCTTTTCTAGTCAATGCTCAGGTTGAGATATGCAAAACTTAGGTATCTTAGGTACGGTCAAGCCTCTTTTTGAATTCCTCAAGAGCAAAGACCATGACTTTATTTTTCTAGTTGGCTTAGTACATCGCTTTATTCATAATATGCTCAGTACAGAGTATTACTTTCCTGAAAGGGAATGAAAGCTTAATTCTTATGAGGATAGAAGGTGAAAGCTGCATGTGGTATGTATATCTCTCAAATTTTATATAGGGCACAGACATTTCTAGTTACAAAGAAGATTTTATTTTTTTTATTTTTTATTTATTTATTTTTTACTGGTTATGTCCAATTTTTTATTTATTTATTTATTGTTTGTTTATTTATTTATTTTAATGCATTTTTTTTTATTGGTGTTCAATTTACCAACATACAGAATAACACCCAGTGCTCATCCTGTCAAGTGCCCCCCTCAGTGTCTGTCACCCATTCACCCCCACCCCCCGCCCTCCTCCCCTTCTACCACCCCTAGTTCGTTTCCCAGAGTTAGGAGTCTTTATGTTCTGTCTCCCTTTCTGATATTTCCCACTCATTTCTTCTCCCTTCCCTTATATTACCTTTCACTATTATTTATATTCCCCAAATGAATGAGAACATACAATGTTTGTCCTTCTCCGATTGACTTACTTCACTCAGCATAATACCCTCCAGTTCCATCCACGTTGAAGCAAATGGTGGGTATTTGTCGTTTCTAGTGGGTGAGTAATATTCCATTGTATGCATAGACCACAGCTTCTTTATCCATTCATCTTTCGATGGACACCGAGGCTCCTTCCACAGTTTGGCTACTGTGGACATTGCTGCTAGAAACATCGGGGTGCAAGTGTCCCGGCATTTCATTGCATCTGAATCTTTGGGGTAAATCCCCAACAGTGCAATTGCTGGGTCGTAGGACAGGTCTATTTTTAACACAAAGAAGATTTTAGATTAATAATCTATCTTGAGAACTAACAATCTATCCTAAGAGAGAAAACAGTAAGGAAGGAAAAAGCAAGAGCCATGTTTTTGTCCCCATGGTACAAAACAGACTCTTGCAGAGCCACTGAGCTGAACATCTTGAGGGAGCACCATTGACCTCGAGGTCAATGTGAATAGTGCCTCCAGGTTGCATAGTACACAACATACACAGCTGTACATGAGGCCCCAGCCTGACACATAGTGAGTGTTTAGTGAATGAATGAGCAAGCAAGTGAGTGAGCCTGTGTGCACGCATACACATCGTGTGTGTGGCATTTAGCAGAGTTTTAACTGGAAGGAAAAATTAATCAAATTAGAATGAGTATCCCTGGTTAGCAGGGTCCCACAGCACAAACCACTTTGCTTTTGGTGCGAAAAAGTGAGAAAACGACCAAATAAATTGTGTACATCAGATAGAGATTCAGAGAAAAAAAGAACTTTGACCTAATGTTGCAGGTTAAAAATAATAGTAATAATAAATAAAAACTCATTTTGGTTAATGGTGACACCTAGTGGTGTATCAAAATTTGTTTATTCTTCCCATCTCTTTCCTTTGCTTCTTCTATTTGTCGATAGCCAAAATAGCCAACCCATGTGACTATTTAAATTCAAATGAACTAAAAATAATAATAAAAAAAATAAACTCAAATGAATTAAAACTAAATGAAATGAAAATTGAGTACGTCACATTTCAGGTGCTCAGTGGCACCAGTGGCAGCTGCATTCAGCGCAGAACGTGATCATCTCCATCATTGCAGAAAACTCTACAGGAAAGCCCCAGCCTGGAGCTTCGTTATCTACCTGTCTTGTCTCTTTTTACTTGTCACCACCTCTTCTCTAAGTGGTGATTCTGCTCCTTCCCCTCCTTCCCTCCCTAGTTTATTTGGAAGCTTTCTGTTTTCTGTATATTATTATGTAAACTCATCAAAGTGACCTTGCCAAGTGAACACAAAAATATATAATCACGTTGGACAGTTTATTCAGGACAGTCAGTGATTCACAGCATCTTGTTTTCCATGCATTGGAACACATCAAAATATTTTTAAACTCAACACATCAACACATCATTTAAAACAATTATAGCCCAAGCTTTTTTTTTTCTTCTGCTTTTTAAATCCACAGGTTTCTGCCTTTCTACTTTGTCTTGAGTTAAAGTAGCTTTAAAATTAAATAGTATATCTTTTTGTAATGCCTGAAAATTTTTTTTGTAAGATTTTATTTTTTTTGTAAGATTTTATTTATTTACTCATGAGAGACACACAGAGAGAGAAGTAGAGAGATAAGTAGGTTCCACGCAGGGAGCCCGATGTGGGCCAAAGGCAGGTGCTCAACCACTGAGCCACCCAGGTGTCCCAAGATTTTAGTTTTAAGTGATCTCTATACCCAGTGTGGGGCTTGAACTCATAATCCTGAGATCAAGGATCTCACGCTCTACCAACTGAGCCAGCCAGGTGCCCTGAAAAAAATACTTTTTTAAAAAAAAATACTTTTTATGCATAGAACAGCTTTGAAATAATACACAAATTTTTGTTGAATACTCTTTTATAATATTTTTACCAGATTTTTATGCATGTATATATATGTATCTGTGTATGTGTCTCCATGTATAACTTTTTAAATTACATTCTAAATTACTTTTGAAATGTAAAATCATATCTGAAAATAAATGTCACAACCCTGAGAGGATCAAACCGAAGACTTTCCAGGAAGAATGAGCTCTTGGAGAGAAGGTAATTTCTGAATGATACTGCAACATTTGAGTGGTGATGCATCTCTTTAAAGAGATAAGGAAGGGGAAGAGAGAGGTAGCACCGCATTAACTTTAGATTTATGTCTAATGACAATTTGCCCAGAATCAGAATGCACTAACCAGTGGCCCTCTTGACTGTTGATAGAAATTTACATTAGAAATGAAGCCTTCCTTTTCCTTCCAACCCCTAATCAGAGAGGAATGACAGAGTCTGTCCCTTTAGCACCCCCCTCAAAAGGGACCTTGGAAAATGCTAACAGCTTGGATTCCCACTTCACTGTCCCTAAGGGCTTGATGAACAAAGTGAAAGTGACCATCTCTCTTCCTTTTCCTCCACTCCTCCAGCTCGGTATGGCCACCTGTCCTCCTTAGAACCACCGGATTTCAAGGAAAATAGGATGAAGCTTGCCATCTCCCCTGACTTCACATCTGGCTTCAGCCCAAAGTTACTCAAAACTTGAATTTAGGTAGGATTTATGTAAAGACTTGTATTTCTTATTGATTGAGAGAGAGAGAGAGAGAGAGACAGAGACAGAGAGAGTGTACACGCGCAAGTTGAAGGGATTGGAAGAGCAGAGGGAGAGGGAGAGAGAGAATCTCCAGGAGACTCCCCACTGAGCAGGGCACCCCATGTGGGGCTGGATCTCATGACCAGAGATCATGACCTGAACAGAAACCAAGAGTCGGGCACTTAGTTGACTGAGCCACCCAGGTGCCCCAAGACTTGTATTTCTTTAAAGAGGGATTTGGGGACCAGGAAAGAACCAGCATGCCTGCAATATAAGTAACAGCTCTACTGCCAATTTGAGAAAAAGGGAAACTGAGGCAGGGCACAGTAAATGTGATGTGTGCCAGTACTTTTGCAGCCAGTACTTTCGACTTCCCGTAAGCCAATTCACATCAAAACCATATAATCATATGCCCAAACCAAACTGTAGCATCTCTGTGTGGATTCCTCTAAATAAAGTGCCGCCTGGACCATGCCACCCAGGGGATGGTTTGTGGTTCTTTCTGACTGCGGACTTCTGTGGTGCCAGCCTGGCCTCGGGCGGAATCATGGTCTTCCTAAAGGAACAGAGGTTTATGTGTTGGCTCCCTGGGACACTCAGGAGTCCCTTTCTCATGGTGCTCTGTGTTGGAAAGACAAATAGCCTATCCCTTTGGCACAGGACCATCATGGTCCTTATCCCAAGGCAGACAGGCAGTGGGAAATGGAAAACTCAGGATCATCATGCTACAAAAGCCTTAAAACACTCCCAGTCCATCCTCCATTTTATGGAGCAGGACACTGAGGCCCCAAAAGGTTAGGAGGTCAAGTCACCTTCACCTTTAAGATTATATGAGGGGAGTACAGTGTTGCAGCCTCCCACCAGGCCTCCCAAACTACTTGGCGCTGCTTCGCCTGCACCATCCCAGCATCCCTGAAGCCCTCTGTGCAAAGACTTCCTCTAGCCTCATGGAAAGATGTGAACACCTTCACGGTATCCATTCGTTAATATGAGGATTGACACTGAGGATTACTCAAGCATGTGTTTTCATGCCAGATTTTATTTTATTTATTATTATTTTTTAAAAGATTTTATTTCTTGAGAGAGTGCACATGTGTGAGAGCAGGGGGAGGGGCAGAGGGAAAGGGAGAGAGAATCTCAAGCAGACTCCCGGCTGAGTGCGGATCCACCTCCGAGCTCTATCTCTTGACCCTGAGTTCATGACCTGAGCTGAAATTAAGAGTTAGATGCTCAACCGGCTGAGCCACCCAGGTGCCCCTGGGTCAGATTTTAAATATACATCTGTGCTAATAAAAGTAGCAACTAGGGCAGCCCCGCTGGCTCAGCGGTTTAGTGCTGCCTGCAGCCCGGGGTGTGATCCTGGAGACCCGGGATCGAGTCCCATGTCGGGCTCCCTGCATGGAGCCTGCTTCTCCCTCTCCCTCTGCCTGTGTCTCTGCCTCTCTCTGTGTGTCTCTATGAATAAATAATCTTAAAATAAATAAAAATAAAAGTAGCAATTAGCCACATGTAGCGACTGAGCTCTTGAAATGCAGCTACTATAAATTAACATGTGCTAAAACTGTAAAATACACATCACAATTTGAATAGTTGGTGTGAAAAAGTACTTAATAATTTTCATGCTGATTGCATATTGAAATAACATTTTAGCTATATCAGATATTATTTAGTGTACTACTAAAATTTATGGATGTGTTTTTACTTTTTAAAATGTGGCTGCTAGAAGACTTAAAATGACATCTGTGGTTCACATTACATATCTGTTGGACAAGAGTATAGACCCTGCCTTCTGCTTTGCATTCATCTGATATTCAGTCAGAATCACTTGGTGTACGTGCATTTAACATACTTACCCTAGAGGAAGGGGGAGGAGGGGAGACAGAGGGAAAAAAGCAGGTGACTTTGTGTCCCACAGAGTGTGAAATAGGACATAATGATTCCACTGTCCCCTTCGGCAGGGGGGTCCCAATTCCCATGCTTGGCTCCCATTGGGTGAACACCTTATACTTTTCCAAGAGTAGAGTCCAATGTTTTTCCACCTGCACCAACGTGGATAAAGCTCAAGAACCTGACATTGTTGTAGATGCCTACGGATAATTGGCTGTACATAAAATTGTAAAACTGCAAAGCAATATATTACATATAGGCATGCATGGGAATGATAAATACCAATTAGGGATGCTTTCGCCTCTAGGGAGAGTGGAAGGAAAATGTGACTGGGAAGTGCCCCTAATAGTCTTTCTTTAGCTAGGTGGCGTTATGCATTGTTTGGTATTTATTTTCTGTCCTTTGTCTGGACCAGAAATATTTCATAATATAAGTGCTTAAAATGCATACTTTTCACAGACTAGTGAGATGCTGGTAGAGGCAGCATGTATTTTTGGTGTATATGTGTTTTGGTTGCTTAATATTGTTAGTGCAAATTCCTAGGTTATCCTCTATTTATTCCCTAAGAAGCCCATTGCTAATATGGGGAACTTCCAAAGAAAGGATTGCCTTTAAACTACTTTTCCTTTAAAATGCAGGTATGTGGATTATATATACACACTCACAGTGACTTGGGGATGCCACAATGTTTCACTTATCAAATGCTACGTAACAAACCACTCCCAGGACTTAATGACTTCAAACAAAATAATTTATTTCTCCTAATTTTGTGGGCTGGTTGGGTTTTACTGGTCTCACCTGGGCTTATGCAAGCAGCTGCTTCCAGCTGGAGCTCAATTGAACTGGAAGGTCCAAAAAGCCTCACTCACGTCTGGCAGCAGTTCTGGGCTGTCCTCCAGGTGGCCTCTCACCCTCCAGTAGGGCAGACTAGCTTCCTTTTGTGGCAGTCCCAGGGCATTCTGAGTGACAAAGGCAGAAGCTGTAAGTCCTTTTGAGGTCTAGGCCCTGAACTCATGGGATGCCAGCTTAGCCACCTAATATTGGCCAAAGCAGGTCACTGCCTGATGAAAAGATAGGAAAATAGACTCTGCCTCTTGGTGGGAGGAGCTGCAAAGAATCTATGGCTGGATTTCATTCACCACACATGTATTAAAATATTCATTTGCTCATTTGAAATACACATGATACAGGGTGAACCTGGAAAGTGTAATCTGAATTTCCACCATTTTCCTTAACTGGTTAAAAGAAAAAGCATCTACCATTGAACTATCCAAATGCAGAAGTTTTAATCCTATTTAAATCTAGATAATTTTTTAAAAAATAATATTCTTTTTTTAATGGAAAAATAAAAGAGTTTCTTTTTAAGCGAGAATTCAGGCCTGCAAATTGAGTCCCTGGCAGGAGCATCTGCTACCACTTAATATTTAACTACGTAGCCCCAGACAATGAGAACGGGTGGGATTTCATAGTTTGGAACTTACCAAGCTCCATCTATTTGCTACACTCGTTTTTAGTTCCTGTGGAAATCTGCATTTTAGGAAGACAATTTGAAGGGCACAAAATAAAGCTAAGAGGAGTGTAAGTGAGCAAGGGGAAGACAGCTCCAGCAGGACAGCAGGTGCAAGGGTTCTGTCTCCTCCTGAGAGCAGCTGAGTATTTGTTACATGGGATTGTTACATTGGTACTTCCAGGGGAAAAGAAAATTAATTTGGGGGAAAAACCGTTCTGGAATGGCTCCTGTTTTCATCTCCAAACTGTCTTCTCAGTCTGTAAGACTCTATTCAGTGAAAGAAAAAGTGTCCTGGAAATGATGGACACATTCAGGCAACAGGAAAAGTCACTGGTAGAAGGAAGTAGGTGATTTTCTTGAGGAGAAATGACCAATGACCCCAGCAATTCAGAGTATGGAGCAGAATCAGGGGCCTGGAGCCAGGCTGAAAACAAGCTAGAGAAAGGCAGGTGCATAAGGCAGGTGCAAATGGTCTGACTTGGAGGCGCCAGAAAGGGCGAGCCCTGCTCCCTCAAGAATCTGCTCGCTTCCTTCCTGCCATGATCCTGCAAAACATTAGCTGGCCTTCTAAAAAATGAGAAAAAAGAGAAAGAGAAGCAAAAGGAAGACCCTGAGACATCACCCACCAGGACCAGCAGCCAAGATGGGGCTGTTTCGAGCAGATTGCAAGGCACCCCAAAAAGAGAAGTTAGTTAAGGCCTGTTGGTGGCTGTGGAATCCTGCCTCGCCCCTCGTTTGAACTTGGATGAGTTTGAACTTGGGTGAGTAATAGAATACCTCTGAACGTCAAGTTTTTATTTATTTATTTTTTAAAGATTTTATTTATTTATTCATGAGGGACGCAGAGGGAGAAGCAGACTCCTCCCTGTGGGGAGCCCGATGCGGGACTTGATCCCAGGCCCCTGGGATCACGCCCTGAACTGAAGGCAGATAGACGCTCAACCGCTGAGCCACTCAGGTGTCCCTGAATGTCAAGTTTTTATCTGTAAAATGGGAGCCTAAGGTGATGTGCATTGTGGGCCAGGCATGCAGTAAACCCTGTTTAAATAACTTAAACTGGGGCAGCCCTGGTGGCTCAGTGGTTTGGCGCGGCCTTCAGTCCGGGGCCTGGTCCCGGGGTCCTGGGATCGAGTCCCACGTCAGGCTCCCTGCATGGAGCCTGCTTCTCCCTCTGCCTGTGTCTCTGCCTCTCTCTCTCTCTCACTCTCTCTGTCTCTCATGAATAAATAAATAAAATCTTTAAAAAATAAATAAATAAATAACTTAGTCTTCCTTCTGGCTGGGATCCAGTGGGCCCAGAGGTGCAAATCTCAGCATGACTTCAATTGTTAAACATATTGTTGTCTTAAGAGGCAAAGGTAGGTGCACCTGGGTGGCTCTATCAGTTAACCCAGGTCATGATCTCAGGGTCTTGAAATCCATCCCCTCCTCAGGCTCGGAGCTGGTGATATAGCCTGCTTGAGATTCTTGCTCTCCCTCTGCCCTTCCCCTCCCCTTACCCCCCACCCCAGCTTTTTTTTAAAGAAAGAGGCAAAGGTAAATACTTCTTGAGAGCCTCAGATTTCCAAATGTTGCCTGCATTTCTGCATTGGTGTCACTCCAGATATAATATGCTAACTCTTTTAATGGTGGATTTTCCTTCCCACAAAGCCTTTAAAAATAATATAATTTCTCTGAGTTGTGTGCCGTTTGCCAGGAGACAGGAGAGTAGAGAAAATGATCTGTTGAGTTTTACTTTTAAGCATAATATAATCCTTGAATTAACTTTAAAACATATTTATTGCACATTTACTATGTACCAGGCAAATACAAGCACTCAGGTGAGACAAAGAAAAGTAAAACACAGTTCTTGCTCTTGGAGAGTTTCTGGTCCAGAAGGAGCTAAATCTAGGATATAGTTACACTCAAGGACCACGACCAGGTAGGAAGAAGGTAAACCAGGGGTTTTGAAGGAAGGGTAGCATTTTCTCTAGATTTTTATCAGATCAACAACACTCTAATAAAAATAATGTCCTAAAAAGTAGTGATTTTCCTTTCTCTGTGTTCCCTTACACATCCTTACTTCAA